TTGAATATCGATTCTCGTTTTTCATGTTCAACATGATGAGATCGGTTTGCTGCGCCGCCCCTTTCGCTCCGACGAGCGAATGACTTTGGGACTTTGTAATGGGGAATAATCACTCGGACAGCGAGGGAGACACTGCCGTCCTCAATGAGTTTTCGAATAGCCTTCGTGGACTGAAGCGCAGCGAGCCCATTCAATCCCACCGAGTGATCACTCCGTGATCAGCCGACCCCGCGAGCAGACCGGATCATGGGGCAGACAGGACTGAGTGAGGAGGTTCATCTCTTCTCGGCGTTCTTCTTGTCCTCGAGCGCAATTAATTCTAACGAGACCTTGGGACCCATTCAATTCCGAATCTCTCCTTCTTGACGGCTCCCCAAGTCCCGTTGCCGAGCAGTTATAATGATTGAGTCTTTCTCTGCTTTGCTAGAATCCGTTTCCGATAGAATTTACGACCCTCCCCAGATTCCTGCCAATCAAGCAGCCTGCTAACTTGATCAAGCTCGTTTCAGAAAGTACACGGAAGGAGCGAGCTCAAAAATACGGAAGCCGACGCGAGAGTGAAGTCTTCCGTGATTTGTTTCCTCGGAACTTTCTTCGAGGCCAAGCAATACAGCTGATTATCGGGGGGATTCCTGCCTGATGGCGAACGATCGCTCATCCGCAGAAATCGCTCACGGTTGTCGTCGTCGCTGCTCCGGCCGAGACGCATTCGACGGCTCCGATTCGTAAGTTCGATTCGTCGGCCCGCCCAGATCATCGTGCGCATTGGAAACGGAAGATCTTTCGGTTTTGCTTGGGGAGAGCTGCGCCTATCTCGGACGACTCGCATCGTGAGGGATTAGGGTGGGACGCAAAATCCTGGGTATCGATTAATCTACGACATCCTTCGAGTCGAAGTTGCTCGGAGCTTGATTCATTGGCCGACCTTCCGATTTATTTAATTTCACTAGCCCTTTACAAGAAGAATATGGGAATTCGAGATCAACGTCACCGGGAGTCTTTTTGCTCAGTGGAATTGCTACGATCAGGTGATCACCCATGAAGTCCCGAGTACAAATAATCACCTCCATCGGCTCATCTGTTGCGAGACACCGCTTGTTGGTCCCCAGGAGTCGAGAGCATATGTATGTTCTCCAGGTGAGTGTTTTTCCCTTGTCGGGGAGCCGGAATCTCATCTACGCTGGCATGTACCGCTCATAATAGCAGCAAGACAGATCGTTGCCATTCGTATCCTTGGTCACAGTCGCGGTGCAGCGTCGACTGTCAGAGTGCCGACCGGCCAGCCTGCTTGCCTGCCTGCCTGCCCCACGGAACCACTGATTGATAGTGCCGAGAAACCTTGTGGCAGGAGGCATCTCCAGAGAATGATACTCCAATCATTGCCTCACTTCGCATGAAACCAGAGCCCTGGGGTAGGCTGTTAGAGGTCTTCAGCTCGCACCGTCGGCTGCAGCGTCTATGCTGCTTTAGTGCTTGTGAGACTGAGGAAACAGGAGACCGAATCCAGATCTGCTTGGGGTGACGCTGACGGCGCGGCAACTATGGTGCTGGTTTTCCGATGAATCATCGGTTCACTGAGAAACAGATAGGATGGAGAAGTCGTCTTCTGTCGTCGGAACCTCATAAAGAATGTTTCCATAGAAGAAGTTTGTCCCACAGAAGCAAGGCCAGAACTTCTGTCCCGTGACTCTGCATGGAATTCAGCCTGCGACGTCTATCGTTTTGGCATGTCCGGAGGTTTGTCTCCGAAATACAGATACATGGAATCGATGGGATAGCAGATCGAAAAACGCAACGCCACCCTTGGCTGGTCCCACCCTTGCCCCCGACCGTCATGTCCGGATTGTCATTCAAGACCTGTCGGGGGTGGAGTAGTTCAGCGGATGAGCTCGATTCAGGAGATATTGCGGGACGGAGCTGTACGAAGTTACACGGTCGTATCCGCTGTCGATTAGACTCGAGAGGGGAACGGAGCTCGATGCGCAAAAGCGTAATGTTTCACCCGATCACGGTGACATCATCGTTCGGTATCTTACCCGACGAAAAACGTGACCCGGGCAGTAAGCACTCACTCCTTGCGTAACAGCGATATTCCGGAGATGCACTGTCTTTCTCTAATGGCAAATATCTCAAACAGCGATGCGGGGTTCTATGCTGATGAGTTCGTTCATCCCTACTCTCGACCGAGACTGTATCCGACTCCTCTTTTTTTATAATCCCGATCTGGTTCGCATAAGGGGATTTCTGACACTCTCGATCCCTCCGGTAGCTGCTCAATACGCATGGAAGGAATTCAGAAGAGGAACTGCAATTTTTTTTGTCGGGCCAACAAAAGAGAGGAAAGTACGCGAAGTCGGATGGCTGGTGTCGGTAGCCGTTGAGGCAACAGCTCGGGTTAGCGACCCCGGTAATTCTAAGGTAGTGAGGAAATCGCCTCCGGATGTTCTGTAGTGGAGTGAAGGAGATTCCCGAGATGACGGAGTGTCATTTCCCGCCTCTGGTCGGCCTAGAACTCGAGGCCGTGGTTCGGGGCTTGATTCGCAGTTTTTTCTGCTTTGATCACCTGCGGAACTTTATGAGAGCTCTTGATGACGGAAGGGGACCTGGAGAAGTGCTCCCCATTCACACGCTCGCTATCCTCATCAGAAACTCTGGCGGCAAAGTGCCACGACGGCTGAGGCGGCAGAAAAACGCCCGGGGGCAGGTCTAGCGATGGCAGGACTGCCCACATGTCAGGGCTGGAACGGGAATTCGGGCGGACACCGAGGAGTTGCCAACGACTGAGAGCCGAGCATGAGGAGAGCCGTGACAGGACGTCGCGAAGTGTACGGGATCGAGTTCGACGTCTTCGATGGTTTGCTACCAGTCGTTCGAGTAAACTGGAAATGCCGATGGATGACAGCCGACAAGATGGATCTCCGGCGATCCATCGCGACTCTGCGCTGCGCACCCGGAAGCCGAGATAATGAACAACGTCATAAACTTGCCTTAGTCGAAGCCGTGCTGGCCAGCAGCTTGACTGACTTGCTCACTTGCATTGAGAACAGCCGGTGAGCAAGCTGCCCGTACCCCTCCTTGTTCTCGCGGCCGAGTACGCCGGCAAGCAGGCGCTCATTAAACAAAGCGCCCATTATTCTCGAAGGCTGCCGGGTCACTACGTTGCGTTTGGTTGGGACTCGCAAAGCCCATTTATAAACTTTTCCATTATATCAACCGCCTCCACGGAACCGCGCCACGAGTTTTGGCTCATCAAGGATATTTTTGCATCGGATGAGAGTGAATCGGAATGAGGATTGCACTTCTTCGGGGCTAGGCTTTCCGGTACGGTGTTGCTGGGGCTCCGGGCGAGGTCTCGACCGAACTTCCTTCTTCCAGCTTCCAAAGACTCATGAGCTTTGACCTGGGAAAACATTGGACGTATTTGGGAGTCTACGGGAACCCTCCACGTTCCGCTCGCGGTCCCCCCGAGAAAGCAATTTTTCCTGAGTGAATCTGGCCGTGGAAGGTCTCGACTCTTCTCGAGCAAGAGCTCCTGACTCTTCGAGTTCGCTCCGATTTCCCTGATCCTTCCGATCGCGGTTCGGATCTCCCTCCCTTCCGGAATTCGGGAGAATACGAGCGAAGCGATATGATGGATGTTTGCTTGCATCATTCATCGCATGTAGTCTATGCGAAGTATGTTCGCCTGTGTGCGTCTATGTACATATAAGCACGCCAAGTCCGCCGGGAGTTCTCCCGGCTCGATCTCCGTATGCGGAGCGCCTACAAATAGAGAGCGCATCCGCTCCGTCTTCCAGGGACACAGTTCCGAGTGCTCTGATATCTCTCCGTAAGGGCAATCTCAGTATAGCTACCGAGTGTCTTTCCGGCACGCTTCGAAGCCCAGCGCCGAGTCCATACACATATGCGGAGGGAAAGTGATCTCGGAAGCTCCTCGTCCTCTGTCAGGGAACCTATAGGTACCGAGCCGAGGGAGGAATCACAGAAGTTCGTTTTTCTTCACCACGCGTTGTTTCCCGTCCCAGGTGCTGTTCTCCTGTCTGAATCGAGAGTTGATAAGCGGTGCTTCCGAGCTGAGCGGTGTTCTCAAAGTTGTTCCGATGTAGATGATTGCCAGAACCTGCACGCTTCGGCAAACTCGTCGCCAATTACGTCTCATGTCCCCGAGCGACCCCATCTGGTGGTAGGGCAAGGCAAGAGAAGCGTTCCCCACAGTTTTTTGAGCGGAGTCTTTACGACAAGCTTCTTCTCCTTCCTTGGAGTGTCCCGTCCCGCATTAAGCACAGCCTCAAACCTTCGAACTTCCACGAAAATCAAGTGTGAGGCTCGTCATTCCGTGCAGCAATATCTCGTACAGGAAACTCTTCTGACTCGATCGCAGGTCTCTCCAGATCTCCAGAATCTGAATAATCCAACTCAATCTGATCAGACCGCGGGTATGATTGGCGAAGAGCCATCCGACTGTGGTAACTGTGACGAAATCCCTCCCCCGGGAACCTCATGAGGGAGAGCGGCGCGGCGTTTCGAAAGAGATCTCGAACCCAGCAGGAGTCGATACCGTAGAGGGGAGGTTCGACTTCGAAGATGAAGTTGCGCGGAGGCGCCGCGTCGGAGGAATTTCACACCAACGAAACCGCATCTGACGCAAGAAGATGAGATGGGGGCACCAGGACGAGAGAAGTCTGCTTCCCTATACATATGCAGTGGCCCTGGACTATTTTCTCGAGAACAATGTCGGGAGATCTCTTGAGCTCCAGCCCGCTCTTCTCGCCTTGAGAGAAATTGGATGAGTAGATGGAATATGATAGATGCAAGAGCCGGGGCTGGTCTCTTCCGAGGGAGCAGAGGATCTTGCGGACATGGCAGAAATCACGAAGAAAAGGTATACGGAAGTTTTCTACAGCCACCAAATCTCAGGAGGCGGACAGGAGGTTTTCGAGTATGTGTTTCACCGCCAAGGACCTCCAAGTATCGTTTAGCTTCTTCGCAGAAATACTCACCTTACTGAGCTTGAAGATCACCAGAAAGTAGAAGACCAGAATGAGAACAAGCGGGATCGCGAATCCCAGGAAGAATGAATACAGCGTGAAAGCCGTCTGCCCGGTGAGGGTTGGAGTGTCCATCCAGTAGATGTTGCAAACCTTCCGCGAATGCACGACACCATCTGGAAAGGAATATTTTCTTTCAACTCATGCTCGGGAGAGACTCTCTCGCATGCTTGAAGGAAGAAACCCTGTACGGTTCCCTCAGAGCCGCAACATCTTTCATCCCAAGCTCCGTTTACCTAGATCATCTTAGGGGAATCCACTGATACTTGGAGCGGAGCAACTCATTAGCTCGAGTCAGATAGAGCAACGTGCATGATCGATAACGAGTACGATTTTCATTAGATGAATAGGGGTCCGCGCGGTCTCGGTGAGACTGCGCGCCGACCAAGGAGGACGCGACTACGAGAAAAAGCGGAGTTCTGCAGAAACGAATTACACGAGACACTGGAGGGTGCCAAAAATGCCCTCAGCTCAGGCAGGAAAGACGATTGAGAGCTGCTAAGTCAAAAGATCTCTTGAATTAGTCGGGATTACGATCTTCCCGGCTCTCGATTCGGCCTCATTGCTTTTCTGCCGCTGAGATCCGATTTTCTTCCAAGCATGTCCGATCGGGAATTCTAATCAGAATGGAGGGGGCGGAGAAGCGACGGGACAGGGAGCTGGGAGCGACGTCTGTGTGAACAAATAAGACTCGATGTGAAACATTGTGTTTGGGACAGAGGAGCTGCGCCGCGGGCGGGCTTAGGAACCAAGAAAATCGGAGGAACTCATGCCAGAACAAATAGAAAATCGTATAAAACCACCCTCGGGCTTAGTCGCCCCCTCGAGCCAACTTCAAGCGCGACGGGGACGACATCTCCCGGAGTTGGAGGATGTTCGAAGTCAAAGACAGAAGCCGGAACTCGCTGTCGCAGTTCTGTCGGATTCTGCGACTACCGAATTTAATCGGAGAAGGGATCCACGATCATGCTGCGACCGGACTGTCCGACTCATTCCGGGCTTATAATAAGGCTGCTTCCGCCCACGAGACCAACATTCGGATCTGGAGCGAAAAACATGTTTTTCTCGCCGCGCCGTCAGAATTCCCTCGGTGACTCTCCTTTGAGCTCGACAGGACATCCGAGCAGTGGCATCAGGTTCACCAATGGATTCTAGAATTGCTGTGGATCTCTAGTTCTCTGAGCCAACCGATGTTCTTCTCTCTTTTGGCCGGGCTGAGAGAGATCCGAGAATGCCTAGAACTCGATAAGCGGGAGATTTCGAGCGGCGTGAATGGCGCTTGCTTGACTGGCGCTTATTATCATCCTCTGACTTGTGACTTCGAGCAAATGTGGTGATGAGAACAAATGGGTCTGTAGGTGGGCGGATTCTCATCTCTTGCCTGGACGGAAGAGTGCGAGGATGGAGTAGGGGGCCACAAACGGAATGAAGGATCCGCTCGCTCCCCGGCGCGCCCGCCCGCCAGCCGGTCGGTCGGCCGCCCGAGCACCGCTCGCACGCTCACTCGAGCGCTCGTTAAGTGCCATTCTTCAGATCACATACACTCTCAGAAGGGTCGAGGTGGGTTAGAGGGTGTTGCCAAGCGAAATTGCTGCTTTCAAGAAAAGCCGTCCTGTCCAACTGACTGGCTGACGGACTGCCAGCCCCGATCGGGTGCGTAGCGTAGATATTGGTCGAGCTGAGGATAATTTTTTTTGTTCCGCCTAATCCTCTCCCGTTCTGTCCTGATCAATCTTTACGTAAAACGTATCTGTTCGCTAGGGCTCGTATAATAAATAGAGAGCGCACTTTTCCTTCTTCACCATGGAGTCAGGGATACGGCGACGATGACCGTAGGCGCCGGCGCCGCACCAGCGAGCATTCCGCGTTGCGAGCTTGCCCCGTATCCAGGGAGCTGGCCGGGCGAAAATACGCCGCCACCACGCAAGGACAAGGGTACAAAAAAGAGACAGAGAGAAAGCTAAGAGAGACGGATGAGAGGAAGTCCGAGCAGGAAGACCGATGTCACTCAGTGGAAACCCGCCGACCACACCCCCGATAATGCAGCCATTTGTACTATGACACTCGGGGAGGGACGGCGACCAAGTAGCGGGAAAAGCTCCTCACAGAGACGGACACCGGATAAGAACGAGTGTGGAGGCACCTTCGAGTGGCGCCGTGGGAGTCGGGAACCGATGTGACTAAGACGTCGTTCGCGAAACATGCGCGATAAACAAAAATACCAATGCAGATGACAGCGGGAGAAATCCTTCGATCATAAATTTCAGAGAATACTCACTGATGGTCTCCTTCGGGATATCGAACGCCGTCGCGTATAGATAAACAGGGACCATGAGCAGCGCTGATACGGTCCATGCTGTGAGACAGACGAATTTTGCGATGAAAGGAGTTCGATATCGAGGCGAGGAGATCGGATGACACACGGCTATGTACCGGTCGGCAGACATAACGGTCAGCAGAAGTGATGATGTGAATTGGTTGATCGACGTCGTTGTCATGTAGATCTGTGAACAGAATCCAATCTTAGGCTGGCTTACTCCTCCATGAATCGTCTCCCTAGATGGCGGCGACGGCTTGCGTCGACCGAGAGACTCGCGACTACCACTACGGAAGCGACAAATGGAACTCGACACCGAGAGCATTAGAAACCAACAGACTACAACAGAGTATCTCCCTAAGCCGCCCAGCTTCCGGAGTACGCCCGATGGAACCTCTGCTGATCCGACCGGGACGGCTTCGGAAATAACCTCAATGGTCTGCTATCGGGCCTCAATTAAGGCGACTTGTCCTCGAGCTCATAGGAGGAATGGGGAAAAATCATTCACGACGAGATTGATCTTAAGCACTACATCCGCGTTTTTTTTCTCTTATGGAGACCGAATATATATTCCATAGAGCGCTCACGGAATTTCGCGAGTTTCCATAGATCCTTCTCGCTCGAGCCCCACCACCTGACTGAGTTGAAGAGCGAATAAGAGTCAGGGAGGGCAAGTCTGTATTTTCGAACTTTAGGGAGGTCTCCAACTCAATTTTGGAAGGCGGAGTTCCCCCTCTCGGTTTGATACCATTTCGCTCCTGTTAACTCTCTTTTCTCCGATGGGCGCGTCTGGCGCCTTATTACTGAGAGCGGCGCCCGCTCCCTGACACGTTATTAAACGTTCATATTGTCATGCTTGACCTAATAAAAATCCTGATGGCCTCGCGGAGTTGACGGTCACAATACTTATTGTTAGTAGCTAGCCGGGCAAAAATAAAAAAACGTTTTTCATAACGCTTCTGGGACTTTTTCCTCTGTGAAGTCCTTTTGAGCTCCACTCCCTTGGGTATGCCAGGGACCGGATGGCTTGGGCGATAGGGGTCTCAAGCTCTAATCAGATTGCTCCGAGGTTGGTACAAGGGTCTGGGTTCTAGAATGAACCATTTACGTCAATTATTGTATGCACGGTGGTACGTCTCCGGTGGTATATTGGAGGGCTTATATACTGTCCTAATTTGGGAAAGAACTCGTCGAATGAGTACGAGTCTGAAAATTTTGAGGGAGCGGGCTGCTCCACAGCGAGAGACCGATATCGAGTCACCGGGGCAGAAGCGCCGAAGTGCGCTGAGCGCTCACAGCGGATTTCCTCTCGAAAACAGGCACTGAACGACAGGCGGAGAGGCGAACGATGTGAAGATGATGCTGACGCGGAAAGCACTGCTGCGACACGAACAGAATCGATCCATTATCACCTCTTTGAGATATCTCCCAACGGCTAAAGGAGGGATCAATTCGATGACCCACTTCTTACTCTTGAGTTTTCCCGCGTCCCCCGCTGTTTGGTCCGTCGGAGGACGTTCCCCGGTGCCGCAGGGTGCTGCTCGACGTAGCCAACAATGGGGAGCGGGTGATCTAGGAAGGTGAATGACCGGAATCTCAATCATGTAGTGTTTGCTCGGTGTTATTGCAAAAGTGGGAGATTGGCCACGAGGTGCGCGGGCGGCTCGACATCGGGTCACACCGGGTAGCTCGAACGAGGGTGGGGTCGGGTCTACGAGGAGGAAACGACGAAATCACGGAGACCTAATCTCACCATCGAAGGAATGAGCGACATTCCCTCCTCGATGAGGGAAATTGCGATTACGCTGGCGGACATTTTCGGGACCGGCGCGGCGGCACCGTAAGTATTAAATGAGGGAGCTATGTATCTTACGCAGCCGTTTCTTCCCGTTCGAGATATCTTCCCAATACCTCGGACACTGTCGCCGAGGAGTGCTCTGTCCCACGCGGGGAAGATGTGCTCTGAGACTGCACCGATCCCGGCGCCGCGTGGTTACTCCGTGATTCATCTCTCGCTTGATGAAGATTCCACGTCAAAAAAGTCCCAACGGCGAGCGGCGAGACCAAGGGCTCCCAACGGACACGTTGCCTCGCGAAATACAATGCCGCGCCGCGATCGCACCGTCGCCGACAACAAGATCGGCCGTCCAACGATTATTATTGCAGTCGAGCCCGGTGTATTGGGACTTCGAACCATTCGACGTCGCGCATGACGAAACCACCTGGATCGGTCGACGGGCCGGGAACGGAGCGAGATACCGAGGGGAGGGGGCGAGCCTTGGAAATGGAAAATGGCTTCTAGAAGGTAGCTCCTGATTGCTGCATTTTATCACTTCCGGGACTCTGTCTGCTGCGCAGGGAACTCTTTACCGTCGTTACCCAACGCTTTACGGCCCCGAGAGGAGTTGGATTCAAAATATTTCGTGGAGAATACCTAACTCCTCGTGAATGAGACTCGCTCTGGTTCCCTGGTTCTCTCCTGAGGAACCCCGACACCGCGAGGGCCCTACAGGCGCCTGCATGTGCACTGATAAGTATTTCCCATGCTGATAACGATAACCATATTTCTTTGATCATGATATCCTCCATGGTGACCATTTTGATACCCCCTATACATTTCTCCCTGGCAGCAATGATCTGCGAATGATGGAATGCACATACGGGAAAAGGAATATTTCCTCGAAGACCAGTAGAGTCTCGCTGGAGTGGCAAAAAGGTCCCGGAAGGTCGAACGAGCGAGGATTCACAGCAGAAGCTCTTCTTACGCATCCGCTCGTTTGTGAGACGAGTACAAAGGGTGAAGCAAGTCCTTTACTGTCACAAAGACATCCATTAGAACGGAGATTGCGAGACTGCTCGGCAATTAGACGGTCGATTATTACACTCCTTGTCGCCCTCTCCTTCGGTCACTCGTTCCGCCGATTCGATTCACCGATCGGAGGAGCGGAGAAATCCCTGGAAGCCTGCGGGAATTCCTGAGCGCAGGACAAGCTCTGAAATGGTGAAGAGGAATTCCGACTTCCGTTAGGCATACTTGGGAGGAAGTCCTCCTCAGTCAGCGGCGAGTGATTCCTAGTGTAGAGTTCACCACACGACGAGCTCGTCGAGATGCTTGAAACACCGGAGCCTCTCTGTGGAAGGAACATCCGAGAGCGGTAAGTGGATGAAACGCGAGGAGAGGAATTCCCGCCTACAGATACGATCACCATCATCTACGGCTTCAGTAGATGACGCGCCCGGGGCAATGGGAGTAGTGTGTCCGAGTCGATTTGAACAGCATGTTTATCGAAGCGGGGAACGCCGACTAGAAGCTCATTGGTCTGCGTCCCGTGAGGAATCGCGGAATTGGTTCCCGGATGAATATCTGACCGCTGGGAATTCTTCCCGAGAATCCCCTCTGGATCACTCGGAAGCCCTCCTTCAATCTCTGGAGCCGTCTTCCGTTACCCCTCTCAGGCAGGCCGGGATGAAATTCGACAGTAAAGAAGAATAACAGGCTTTCCCTTCTATTCCGGAAGCAGCGGAAGAGCAGCGATCATCGACTTTCGAAAAGAACATTCATGTTGGACGATAATACCGATAAATCGGCTACGGAGGGGGAGGGAACTCTGGGGTCAAAGGTCAGCCTTTCAAACGCAAAGTTTGAGATTGGGATCGACTGCACGAAACGTTCGCCACAGACTCACTATGGGGAAACGAGCGCGGAGCGGGCCGGAAGCCACAACTTCTCTTGCGGTTGAGCGAGCTCTGCGCGTGCACGTTCGATTAATTTCAAAACTGGCTGACTGATTGTGAATGTCGGCAAATTATCCTACTTCTCCACCACGGGTCCGAGCCACTTTCCGAGCTTTGGGTATCGAAGCCCGCGTTCGGATTTACTCCCTGTAATCTTCTAGAAGACTATGTCGAACGCCTTCCCGGGCCATGCTGGAAACTCATCGGAAACTCAAATTCGAGCGAGGGGTGCGGAACGATTTCGGAGCCGAGTGGTTCTTGATAAACCGCCGCTCCCCTGGCACTGTGGGCAGGGGTCGATGTTGCTTCTCGGCTGTAGATACAATTCATACAGCTCGAGAAGTACGGCGAGTCCTCTGCTGAGCCTCCGGAGTTCGCGACGAAGTCTCGCGTCTCTATTATTCGAACCGGATATGAGTCCCTTGTGGTGGAGAACGCAAGTCTAACACTGAACGGGACTTCTTGAATTTTCCAATCAGGAGGATCTTCGAATCGAAATCTATCCGTCTGAAGCTCACTCTAAAACGACACTAACTGAGAGTCTATCTCATGTCGCCCCCACGAGGTAGAGGTACACTCCTTTAATTACAGATATATGTAGAGGACCGTGAAGATAAGGATCAAGAGCGGTTCCGAAATGCCAGGACCTCACACCTGATTCTACTTTGACAACGGGACTCTGGTACGATCGGCGAACATGAGGGACCTACTGGGCGGCAGCCTGGGGGGCTTCCCGAGGAAAATTGGCGATATAAGGAGGGAGGGAGGCTCGACGAAGGGCTGGGTCCACAGGGGTAACGCGGACTGCGAGCTTTCGTTTATCCTCACGGAAAGGCGTGTAGCGAAAAAATCTCATCCTCGCAGACGGGAAGACTCTTCGCGGGCTCCGGCTAATTGGTTGAGCGGCGCGGTGGCCCGCGAACGAAGACTTATCTCGACAGGATTGCGTTGCCCAGAGAACACGAGGGAGCTGACTGAGCGTGGACGGCTAGAAGGCGGAGGGGCGGGCCGAGCCGAAAAAAGGAATGGAAACAGGGGGCTAGGAGCCCAAAGAGGGTCGATCACGTCGCCGTTGCCTGAATCGCAGAAGGTGAGAACTCATGTCGGAAGATCCGTCGGAGCCGTATTCCAACGCGTCCGCCGATTTCCCGGGGAAGAGCAAGCCCTGAGGTGTCATTTTCAATTCGGAGCCTGGGAATATCATGCATTGGGAATGGATGCGCTGGTTATCGAAGGATTCAATCGAGCGAACGCATGTGACGAATTTCCTCTTTCGAGACGTCTATTGATACTTGTTCAATTCTGACGCTGCAAGACACTGACCGAATGACGGCGTGGAGTCGTTATGTCAAGAACGTTCTGATCTGAAATATTTACGTGTTGTATACTCGTAAATTCTTCAAGACGTTCTGTGGGGCATTGCCCGACCAGAACGCACCGCTTGACGCATGT